CCTCTTATGACTTTGTTTCTACTTTCTGATAAGTACAATTTTTTTTTTATTGACGCTCGACAAGATGACTCCATGACGCCTGATGGTAAGCGACAGTGGAATCCAGAATGAGATCCATCGGATCCGGGACTTGATCTCGATTCCGATCAACCTCACCTTGTCGGCCTGCAAATGTGCTTTTTCACGCTCCGTTTAAACGACCCAGGATTATAGGAAGAGGGAAACACGTGAGACGGTAATGAATTCCATTTCCTAATAGTGCGGCACAGGTAGGAGCTGCCAAACCTTTTGGTACGAGAAGGTATGGGTAGTACCGTGTGAGGATGGAATTTCCGACCAGCACGTGTGGTTTTGGAGAGGAAAGGAGAGGAGGGTATAAGTTGGAAGAGCTCTTCTGAACACTCGCCGTAATAAACGCGATAAAAAGCGGCTAGAGATGCAACATCTCTACGCAATTGCAGAGATTCTAAATACTGACTAGCCTCAGGTTTATTAATTATGCGGATAGCACGGCGTTGCAATCTATCAAGAGCGTCTAACAAGTACTTCGCAGAGTCATCCCAGAGGTGGGAGCAGTACTCAACGCATGAGCGCACTTGAGTCTTGTAAAGTAGACATAGCTGCTCAGGCGTGAAGAACCGCTTCACCCTGTTCAGGACCCCGAGTTTACGCGAAGCTAACGAAATGACACTCTCGATATGGTTTTTTTGGTTGAGATCGCTGCGGATATTAACTCCGAGGATGTTGATGCCATCCTGCATAGTAAGGCGAGTGTTCTGAAGAGAGGGAAAACAAAGGAATGGAGATTTTTTAGCCGAGAACGCGCACACCTGCGTCTTCTTGGCATTGAACTCGACCAGGTTCTTTGAACCCCATTCTGAGATGCGGTACAAGACATCGTCGAGCTCACGGACAAGTTCTGTTCTCCTGTTATCTATCTCCATTCGATTAGCGGCTGGATGGCCAAAGTATCGACCGTGGACAGTGCTATCGTCTGCATAGCAATGAATATTACCCAGAGATAACATGTCATTGATATGCAGAAGGAAGAGTGTTGGCGATAAAACGGACCCCTGAGGCACACCGGCGTTCACCTGTAGGAAGCTAGAAGCTTGCCCATCGCAGAGAACGCGAATACTGCGCTCATGCAGGAAGTCAGCCACCCATTCGCACAATCGAGGAGACAGACCGTAAGCCGGAAGCTTGGAAAGAAGAGAACGGTGCCAAACCCTATCGAAAGCTTTCGAGATGTCAAGGCTAACAGCAATCGATTCGCCATGTTTGTCCATAGCCTCGCCCCATAGATGCGTCATAAAAGCTAGAAGATCACCCGTCGAACGTTTTGGTCGAAATCCATATTGACGATCATTGATAATGGAGTAATCTTCTAGATAGCGGATGAGTTGCGAGTTTATGATCCGCTCGAACACCTTACAGAGTACCGAGGTGACGGCTATGGGTCGGTAGTTGGCGGGATCAGAACGGTCACCTTTTTTGGGGATTGGTTGAACGTTCGCCACCTTCCAGGCCTTCGGCACAATTCCTGAGGAATAGGAGTTTCGGTACAGGCGCGTTAGTGCTGGAGCCAACTCTGCTGCACAATTTTTAAGAACAATCGCAGGAATACCATCAGGACCACTTGCTTTCCGGGTGTCGATCGACTGTAGAATTGACCGTACATCACGCTGCCTAATCTGGATATCAGGCATTGTTGTGCCACAATATGGTATAGTCGGAGGTTGGGCTCCACAGTCGTCGAGACGGGAATTGGCTGCAAACAGAGAGGCCAATATATTGGCTTTCTGCTGTGCGTCATGGGCCAGAGATCCATCAGGATATCGTAGCGGTGGCAGCGTAGGCTGGCAGAAGTTGCATTGCACGGCTTTGGTCAGTCGCCAGTAGCTACGGCTTCCCGTAGGGTGCGAAAGAAGTTCTTGACCAAATCGTGCTACGCGCTGAGTATCTGCTCTAATGTAAGCCCTCTTGCAAGCTTTAGTGGCCGCATTATAAGCAGTTTTGAGAGATTCGACATTGGGATCACGAAGGGAGCGGGCCCTAGTCCAAGTACGATAAGCCGATTGTTTCTGCTCTACAGCATCGGTACATTCGCAGTTAAACCAAGGACGAGATCTACCACCGCCGACAACGTCACTGAAGGGAATATAATATTCCATTCCCAACAGTATCTCATCAGCGATGGCGATTGCACTCTCGGACGGATCTCTCTCACCAAAACAGCGTGAAGACCAGGGGACAGACGCAAAGAAATCACGTAAGCCATCCCAATCAGCCGACAAGTAGTGCCATAACCTTCGCTTCACCTCCACAGGTCGTGGAGGAGTGACATATGGCACAGTAGCACCAACTAGACAATGTCATATGGACAAATTATCATTTTGTTACTTAGTATCCAAAAAAAAATACCATTTTTATGACTGTGTTTTTGATAATTATTTTGTATTGTGTATAAACCTAAATTTTTACTTATTCTTATTTCCTGACGTTGTTAATGATAAAATGGTGTATCACCAATATTAATAATAGCACCTAATAGAAACAAGGCACAGAGATAAAATAAAAAGAGGAGAAAATTATTAAATTAGTTTTCAGTGTGCATCAATCTTCAAATTCGGTTCTATTTGAATGAACAAGTACGGAATATTTTTATGTATGACAAGAAATGAAAGCACGTCTATTATTTAGACTCGGGAAAGAAAACAATTTTATTCCCATAAAAACAAAAGATTTAAATGAAAACTCATAGCATACTAAATGGTATTTTTAAAATTAAACTTAATTACATATTTTATTACACTACAATTAATTATTATTATACACACAGTGACGAAGATGTTTATATATATATATATATATATATATATATATAAACATTATATATATATATATATATATATATATATTATACTAGCAGAACCCGCGGCTTCGCTCGCGCAAAACTACAAAAAAATCTCTAAAAAGATAGGTTTCATACAAATTTTCATGCCCTATTTTAACCCCTTATGGAATGAATTTCGAAAAATGCTAAATCACGTATTTACTTAATTGTAATAAAGAGCATTTATACCAAGTTTCAAGAAATTCTGATCATAAATATTTTTTTGGTTTGGTTTTCCCGTGGGAATGAAATAATCTCCCGCGGTAAAAAGTAGCCTATGTCACTCTCCAGCCCTCCAACTATTTTTACACAAAAAATTACGCCAAACCGTCATTTCGTTTCGACGTGAAAGAAGGACAAACAAACAAACAAACAAACAAACAAACACTTTCACATTTATAATATTAGTATGGATATATTATTATATATTTATATTTTATATATATATTAGAAATGTTTAGAAATATGTAAGTATAATATTATAAGCGCGCCAATTCTATTGGTAGAGTGTACCACTAACTCATCAAATCAAGTAAATAGTATCAATTCACATTCTTAATGGAGCGTAATGTGATCGATTTCGCGCTCTAATAGTTGATCTGACTAAAAAACTCGCACCCGCAAACACCAAGCGGTTGCTTACGTAGTCCACTAAGAGCCTTTAGAGAGGTAGGTACCAGAACCAACACGCATGATCCTCGCAGTGATTTTCGACCCATCTTTACTCTAAGCAAGGTTAGAAATGAGATTTTGTTAATATTTTAGTAAATATTATCATATATTGTTTCTAAATATATTGGTCTGCTTTTAATTCTGTACATTCTAGTTCGATAACAAAACCTATGCAATATAAAAAAATAACATATTTTCCTATAGTTATGTACATTTGTAAGATAAAGAAAACATTCTTTGAGTTTGCAAGTTTTATTATTAAGTATAAAACCTAAGCTGGGTACATAAATAATAGAAAATCTAAACATTGTGTCATTTTATGGTTTTCATATTGTGAGATTTTAAATTTGTACATAGCGAAATAATAAATGTAGACTTCTTATATTTTCATCATTTCTTATTGTCCATCCATATGTCATGGGCAATATACTCGTACTTGAAGTGGACGAAGCCTATTAGTGCAATATTGCTGAAACTTGGAATTATATATGTATTATTTGGGATGTACGTAGATGTCTTCTACACTGTTACACTACAAAATGGTATAAACAAATAACAATTCATAAAAATATGCAATTCAAGGCAGTAAACGCTCAGTACATGAAACTGAAAAAAAAAAGTTCTTGATTAAATTTTAATAATCAAGTGCCAGTCTTACTCTTCATGGAAATGCTCTTCAATATTTTTAACGCTTAATATCCAATATAATAAGCTTATATTTTAAGAAAAATTAAAAGCTTATCAAAAATAGATACTATAAAAATAGGTAGGTAGTTTAACTTTTTTTATTAACTGGAAAAGAACTATGATAATATATAATCAGACTACTGCCATTTATTACCTTAATTTTCGCTTTTAAATTTATATTTTATAATAATTTTAAATATGGCCAGTCCAGTTAATCCACGTAATGAGATACATTCATGCGCATCGAAACAGAAACTGGTGAAACGTCAAACGTCGCATCGTGTAATCAACCGAATTCAGTTCGTTACATTAAGTCGTACTCTGTTGAGCTTTATTTGTTGTAAGCTGAATTAAGTAGAGATAAACAAAGATTAAAATAAATAACAAAAAAGATCAAATATTGACTCTATACCTAATTCCCAAGGAGGGTTGACGTCCGTCGGGGCGTCGTAGTTGAATGCGTAAGCGATCCTGCGACGCCCCATTAAGACGGGGGAAGGCTTTGTTGGGTTTTAGTGGGTAGTACTGGCTTTATTACGCCGGTGAGTCCCACACCTCGTGCGTAAATGCATTTCCCAACGTTAAAAAAAAAGGAGGGTTGACGTCAGGCGGGCGGTCGGTCGTAAAACTTTTGCCAAATCCTATCAGCAGTACAAAAGATGTACTGCACCGACCCCAAGTGATTGGGAAATGGGCAGGGAGAAGAAGAAGATTGACGGTATACCTATAAGAAAGCTAAGTAATAATGACGACAGGTAATATAATCACCTACTAAAAATATATACATAGGTAGAAGGTATGGTAACGTAGGTAAACCCGTGGGCAGAAACTAATAGCATATTACATTATTCAGAATTTTTTTTGAATTTCTGCAGAGTCCAACGCTACAGACAATACCTATATGTAATCTAAAAATGAAAGGATATACATACATACATACCTAATTCTTTTACTTTAGGGAATTAGAGTATAGTACGTAATAATAATAAAAAATAATTATTTAAAAAAAAAACAAGTTTACGTCAAAATAGTTTAAATTGTGTTATTAATTATACCGAGTTGATAAGAACTGTTTTGCGCGCTCCAGACAAAAGGATCGTTATTGTTTTGCTGATTCATTATCTTAGGGAAATATAATTATTAAATATGTTAACATAATGTTATTGTTCATTATAATACTAAATATACTAATTAATTATAAAATACCTTCTACTACTTTATTCTTAATTCTACTACTTTTAATACCTTGAAATTACTATTATTCTAATTAGACAAAAAAATATATTAAATTTAACTATGTACCTATACACATATTTAGGACAATATAATATTATATATACATATATTCTTCGCTCTCATCCCAAAATATCTTAGAAAATGTCCCAACAAAGCTCCTGTTATAAGCGGAGCTCAAAATTCTAATTCTAAGAGGTTCTCCATCGAACTTTAAGTTTTCCCTTACAAATTGTATGGCAAATATGATTTTTAACACTTTTTTGTCCTGCAAACTATGACGAAAATATTTAAAAAAAAATGAATGAATGGACCGTTTTTACTATTAAATTTACTTATATATATATATATACATATATTATGTAATAAAAAACGATAATTGTTTTATAACTTCGCCCTTTTTTGCGTGCGGGGAAATCTGACAGCTCTTGTGATTGTGTCTCGGCTCTCTAAATTCAGCTGACATCGACATACAGCGTACCTACAGATATGAGTGCTTTTGTCTTGAGCAGTGCACTTATGCATATTCAATAGTCGCTCTGCCATTAAATACGAGCTACGCGCAGACATGGAACCTAAAACTTCAAACGAATTAAAGTATTGCTTTCGACCTTCATATTTATGGATTACTAGAGAGTTACGGCTGCACACTCGGAGGTCCTGGGTTCGAGTCCCAGGTCGGGCCAAGATTAGTTATTGAGTCTTTTTGTATAGTAAGTCTCAGTAACAACCCGGAGTTGGGAAGTTGGCGGTGTTTCACCCCCGTGCCTCGGAGAGCACTTAAAGCCGTCGGTCCTGCGCCTTAACTCTCACTGGTCGTGTCGAGCAGTCGTCCCACCGGAGTATGAGAGTGACAGGAATAGAGAGTGCACTTGTGTCTGCGCGTACACTTGTGCACTAATAATAAAACATCGATAGTGCGAAAGACATGCTTTAATTTCCGATCCCCGAACTCATAGAACGTAACAATATATACATATTTATAATAGTAGTTCGATATATCGATTCACATTATTTATGGCTATTTAAAAAGAGCACACTTTATACACAGTGTACAACAATCGTTAATTTAATTAACTTTGACTATATAATATATATACTCGATCTGATGGACTTATATATTAACCATTAATAATATTGTCTAAGCATAGTGCTACAATGTTAATTTATTGTAATACTAGCGGACCCGACAGACGTTGTCCTGTCTACACGTCTTTAATTTGAAAATTTCAAACTTTTTTTAATAATTTTTTTGATGAAAATTATTATTCAAATTGTGAATCTAAACCATTCCCAGATCCTCTTGAACACACACAAAAAATTTCATCAAAATCGGTCCAGTCGTTTGAGAGAAGTTCAGTGACATACACACTCATAGAAGAATTATATATATAAAGATTATTCACTTCGCAACGTTATTTGTTTTTCGTAACATTGTTTTTGCTCAAGAACAAAAAGGTAAAACAATTAGAACATAACGGTTGCCGCAGTTTATATATTTTAGTTGATAACATTATACGAAACGATTTTAGGTAATCCACAGAACGCTTTAGAAGCTTTAGACGCCCCGATATATATAGCAGACAGTAAATTCTTCTCTATTTCTGAAAAGGTAAAAGTATTGAAATTGATGATGATGTTCTCCTAGCCGATTCCGGCCACGGCGGCCAATCTCATTGAGACTAGCCAACTGCGCAGGAGATATTATAGTGCACAAGTGTACGCGCAGACACAAGTGCACTCTCTATTCCTGTCACTCTCATTACTCCGGTGGGACGACTGCTCGACACGACCAGTGAGAGTTAAGGCGCAGGACCGACGGCTTTACGTGCTCTCCGAGGCACGGGGGTGAAACACCGCCAACTTCCCAACTCCGGGCTGTTACTGAGACTTACTATACAGAAAGACTCAATAACTAAACTTGGCCCGACCCGGGACTCGAACCCAGGACCTCCGAGTGTGCAGCCGTACATGCTAGCCACTACACCACCGAGCCAGTTAATTATTATATTAAGTTATTGAAATTATACAGCCTATAAATCAGCTTCTGCAGTTTTGTAGAGAAAAAGTGGTTGTAAAACTCTTGATTTTTTATCATATACTTTGTGTAGGTACATTGTTATTAATTTAACATACATCTCAGTAGAATTTATTATGTAAGAAACGATTGTTTACAACGAACAAATTAATTTTTTTTTAATTTCATTTCAGTCTAATTCAAATGAAAAAGTGGGCGTCAAATTGTATTACGAAAGCCTATGTCCAGCATCTATAGCGTTCTATATAACCAATTTCAGAAAAACTATAGAGAAACTAAGTCAGTATTTAAATGTTTCCACTTACCCATATGGAAATGCACAGGTTGGTGTATTATTCCCATATAAAATCAAATAAGTGTGCCTTTAAGCAATATTTTTAGTTGAAAAAGTATTTAGTTACAAATTAAATCGATATATCATAATAATATAAAAAAAATGTACATTTATACCAAATGATTTTATCATAATTATTTTAACAGACCATTGTAGACAAAAATAAAATAACATTCATATGCCAGCATGGACCTGCCGAGTGCTACGGCAACAAGCTGCACGCTTGCACAATTGACAACTTTCAGAACATTACAAAAGCCATTATTTTTAACGCATGTATGATGGATGAAAATCGTGTCTCTGACGACACTGCTGCTGATAAGGTATTTAAAACAACAATGCGGTATTCTCCTAGACTATACGTTTCGTTATACGACTAAGTTGTAATGAAATTTTTTACTATCAAAAAGCAACTTTATTGATAAGAAAGCAATCTCTTCGAAGCATCGCGTCGGCTTGAAAAGAGAAAAACAAAGGGCTCGAAACTCAAAATCACTGCCTCTAGTTTCTTTGACATTGATAGTCCAAACATGTAATAATAGACCTTCTCGTTGGGATAGATTAATGGCATAGTTGGGTTTTATAAGTTTCTGTTAAAGGTTATGAATTACTTAAAATTTTTAGAAAGAGAATCACCTTGTAAACTTTTTTCTTTTATAGTATTTCCATTATTAGTGTTTACTGTTTAGTGTTCTAATTACTTTAGATCTTCAATATTCTGTATACATAGAACGATGGTCTATAGTGACTTCTTAATTATATATTTTTGCACAAACCCAAACAAATCCTGTGTGTCTTATTGTCTATAAACATATAATCTACTCATTTCAATACCGGTTTGAAGATTAAAGTAAGATTTCTGAGCAGAACAGAGAGCAATAACTTACATTTTTAAATTATTAGGTACGCGGTTTTTGTTCACAATTTCATGGGTTTTAATTTTTTGCACCGAACCAAAAGATTGGCCAACTAAACTCTGTGTTACCGAGTTTAGCTGTTACCAGGGTTCGCCGGCGTCTAACAGACGCGCGCCCAGTCTAAGCTGAATAGTTCCACCGTGTAAGATGAGAAATCTCAGCTCCACTTACATCGAAAGGTTCTAAATTAACGAAACTATTATTTTTTTAACTTTTTTGTGTTCATATAAACTTTCAATTATCATCCGTTTACAAACTAAGCATAATATATTTAACAAAAGTGTTAGCCAGTAGGTACCGTATTTTATAGAATTTTTTCTTATTTCATTTTTCATTTAACTTTTTTTTTATCAACTGATGTAATCTAAATGTTAAGTGAAGCTTACCACAAAGCATTAGTGAAAACCGCAGCCAAGTCGGTTCAACCGTTTCTGATATTAGCGCGCACAAGACAAACAGACAAAAATTCAAAAAAAATCATTGTTTTGGGTTCTATTGTGTTAATAAAAACCCCTATTAATAATTTTTCTCGAATATCTTCCATGTATAGGCAGCGATCAGTTACACTTTTATTATATGTATAGATCCAATATAAAAATTATATACGAGTATGTAGTCACACATTCAGAATTTTAATACTTTATTAAAATTGATATCGCTGTCATACTTTTTGAACTTATGTTTGTGAACCAATTTCCTTATTTGTTGCTTTATTTCAGTGCGCGACACTCATGGATGTCGATTCCAAACCAATAAAAGAATGTGCCAAAGGATCTAAAGGAATAAACAGCTCTTAAAGGAATATGGTGTAGAAAGTAAGAAAGCGGGCTTTATGTCTGTACCATACATTCTTATCAACGACCGATTAGCAAGATACAATTTCATGCAAAATGTATGCTCGGCGTTCACTGTACCGCCACCGCCATGTCAAGATATTATGCAGTTTTAAGTTTTATTAGTAATCTATACATACAATAAAACTATTGCTTGGTCGAATCTGTACCTTAGATATTAAATAAAATTTTAAAAAAACGTAGCTATATCATTTTAATTATTTTATTTTTAGCATTTTTCGAAATTCATCCTAAAAGGGGGTAATATAGGGAATAAAAGTTTGTATCAATCTCTGTAAATTTTTTATGTGAAATGTACGGATTTTGGTATTTACCTTTAAAATAAACATTAAAACAATACGTATATATATATATATATATATATAATCATTTGTAATGTAACAATGCAAAGTAGTTGTAGAAAGTAAAACATAATACATGTGTAGGTGTTCCAGTACTAAATTTTCATAAATAGTGTACATAAATCAAATTAATCAGACATGGGTCGTACTTCTTTTTTTTAATGTTGGGAAATGCATTTACGCACGAGGTGTGGGACTCACTGACAAAGCCAGTACTACCCACTAAAACCCAACAAAACCTTCCCCCGTCTTACTGGGGCGTCGCTAGGTCGTAATTCTTACTCTTCTTGCCTTTAGTTAATTTATTTTTAAAGCAGATTTTTTGTACTTCTATACTTTCTTCACTGGGGATGCAGATTTACTGAGAAGAGCCACTGGTAAATTAATTTGGTTGTAACCTTTCAATAATTTACACCTATCTAGTAAAGAATATTTTAAGTATTTCATCAAAAAGAGCATGGTGATATCGCTTTATACGGGTCTGAATTTGATCTCATGAGATAATAATAAACCTTTCACTTTTGTTCTACCCATAAGTGAAGTGAGATTAGGAAAAAAAGAAAAAAGGAGGGGGGCGTTGAGCCCCTGTACCCTGGTGCTCTCAGAAACTAGATAAATCTTAACAATGCTTTACGTCGATATCATTTACTTCTCCGGCCGAGCTAAATAAAAGCCTAAATCTATCTAACCTGAATCCTTTATCCATTATTAAAGTAATTTAACAAATTCAGTTCCCTTCTGCGTAAATCTATACTAATACTAATAATACTATAAAGATATGATAAGATATTTGTGACGTTGTAGGCGGTAGTCTCTGGATCTACTGAACCGATTTAGATGAAATTTGGTAAGAAGATAGTTTGAGACCCTGGGAAGGACATTTTATTTTTATCCGGAAATCATCCCTTAGTATTGGGAAGCAAGCTAGAGACTAACCCGAGCGAAGCAAGGGTGAGTCGCTAGTAGTGGATAAAACAGGTAAACAGACGGACAAACAAATTTTTAAAGATTTTTTCTTTAACTTTTGATATTGTCCAAATGGACCATGGAGCTCAATAAGGGGTAACTATATTTAAATCGCAAATATTGATTCATTATATCTAAATAGGTATATCTGGATATATACACCATTTTTATAACACCCCTCGGCTTAAAAAATATTTTTTTAATACATTTTGTTATCAAATGCAGTTTGATAAGAATTATATATTATAATGCACGCTACACGGTTCTGCCAGCAGAATCAATCTAAATCTATATAGATAAATAAAATTGAAGTGTCTGTTTGTAATATCAAAATAACAGCTTTTTACTAAATCCATATGAAATTATATACGGTACTTATAAGAAAAACACAACTATTAAAATTTTTGTCTGTTCTTTATCTGTCTGTCCGTTTGTTCGGGACTGGGGATATCTCCGAAACGGCTGGATTGATTTTGACGGGACTTTCACTGGCAGACAGTTGATGTCATAAGGATTTGGTCCCTAGAGTCAACCCACAGTAATAATGTAAAGGTGCTTTAATAATTTTAACCACGAAAAATTTATGGAGGTTTTTATTCATATTAACTGGGATTGCATATTTATTGCTTTAATAGTAAAATGACAAGATCTGCATTTTTAACTCAATCATTACTGAACTCTGATATTTATACACTACTCCGACCAATAAAGCTTAAACTGTTCCTGCGCCGTGGCTAACCCGTGACATAAACTTGCTTATGGCTAAGCGCAACGCTACAAAGTCTAAATCTATATACATATTATAAAATTGTAACTAAGTTGAATCTGTACATTAAATATTTTTTGGAAAATCTAATTGAAATAGACATTATTATCGATACAGAGTCCGAATCTATAGTTTTTAGAATTTTTGTCTGTCTGTCTGTCTGTCTGTTACCGCATCATGAGAAAACCACTGAACAGATTTTGATGAAACTTGGTATGATGATAGCTGATTATCCGGGTCAACATATAAAATACTTTTTACTACGGGAAAATATCTCATTTCTGAGAAAAAATACAAAAACTGCATTGTAAGAGTATACTAATATGTGAGACCTAAGAATGTTCATCCGTCGTGAAATTTAAGAAATATTATTTTTTACAGATGTTGTTGTTATGATGTAAATAGTATGTATATTCCCAAAAGATTTCAGTATTTAATAATGACCCTGTATAAGTATATGTTACTTTGTATGTATGTTTATTTACATTTAGGATTAAGTAATGTACACTTTTATGCATCATTTCCGCTCTTTTCTTATATTTTTTGTATCCTTCTCTATCAGTTGCCTGTACGAGATCGCTTACAGTGATGAGGCCGCCTTTGCAAATTTCTTTAATTGTATTTGTTTTTTGTGTTTGTACCATTTTAATGTGCAATAAAGTGTTTAAATTAAAAATTAAAAAAAATATATTTTTCTTGAACTGTATTACGCCGCTAACATTTTCTTCCACACTAATGGGTTGGCTGAAAGAGATTCCAATTAGAGATAAGTGAGTCTACTCTTAGAAACTATTTTTTGTATTTTTACAGTGTGCTATAATTAATATAATAAAATAATTTAGTAAATGGCATGGTACATATAAATGTTTTATAAAAATTCTGTTTGAGCTAGGCTTTATCATTAATTTAGAAACTAGAACCTACCCATATGTCAATATGTATAAAAATCATAAAATTACTAAGTACTGTATAGATTTTACTTAAATATTGTAAAATTAATAGAATAGGTACATACCCATATTTTTACCCCTTAGTACTGAAGTAAAGATTCCGCTGGGACAATACAATAAAGAGTTAAGAATACAATAAAGAATCATGAATTGAACACTTTTATTCAGAAAGGTAAGTGTCAAAATATAAAAGCAAAACCAAAGTTGGTCGCTAGTACATACGACTACATACGTATATTTTGCTTATCATAAGGAAACATACCAACGAATTATTAAATAACATTAAGCTATTGATACACTAAATGTTACAACATTAGATTCATATAATTAAATGGAATAAATATAAATTTGAATTCAATAAATAAAATCTAAAAATTTAATTCATTATCTTCACCTGTAGGTACTCTCTACTATCTTACACAAATTAGTCATACTGTTATATAAGTGATTTTGTCTTAAGTAGATGTACATAAGCAATATTCATTCTAATTATCGCAATAAGTACTTGCTGAACGAAGGCATGAAACCCAAAATACAAATAGCAAACGCTGTACTAATAGATATATTATATTATTTATATTATTTAGGTATACCTAATTTATATATATATATATATATATATATATATATATATATAATATATATATATATATATAATACTTATGATATTATATATATATATATATAATATCATAAGTATGTATCATTTTTATTTTTCTTATCTCTGTTATTTGTTCACATCCTTCCACTTCACACTTTGCTATTTCCTACACCTAAAGGTTACCTGGAAGAAATCGCTGTGTTGGCGATAAGGCCGCCTCTTATGCATTTTCCTATTACTGTATTGTTCTTTTTTTTATCTCTTCCTCTGTTGTGTGTGCAATAAAAAGTTTTTATTATTATTATTATACTTTAGGGCAATATAAAATTATTAAATGAATTATTTAATATTTGCAATTTAAAAAGAATGTACGTTATGGACAGTGTACACGTGTCCCTAATTTAATTAACTGTGACTATATTATGTGAGATATTTATTTAAAACCACTATTAGTATTGAAGTAATATTGTGAACACTGTGCAACGATGACATTCTATTACTATATTGCACATTTAGTAAGGTTACTTATACTTCTTAACATCATTTTAGAAGGTATTTAATTTGTTCCTGTAACTATGTATTGTTGAAAAAATATTTCATTGTATGACATTATATATATACATACATATATATACATACATATATATACCTAATGATTTCAGGTAAAGCACAGAATGTTCTAGACACTGTTGACGTCCCGATAAAGTTTTCGGGAAGTGATTTCTACTTTATTTCTGGAGAGGTAAATATATATGTAATTAAAACTAATACTCTATAATTTGAAAATATTTACTTGGAGTTATTTATATCGTAATTGTATAGCATTATCATGTCTTCAGTCATTAGTATGAATCGTTAATAAGTTGTTTTCAAGTGTGGCGCATTCTAAAAGACGGACTGACAAGCAAATATTTAAAAAACTATATAAACGGTTGCAGTTGCATCCCAAATGTAATAGCCCAAGAGCCCACGACGGCCAGACCTTCGTTATTTTATAAAAGCTGAAAGTTTTTCTGTACATGTTCCATATACAGGTAAGAACGACCAGCGACTATAGAGTTTGGGTTGTGGTTACTTTGGCAGGTAACAGGTAGTAACCCCCGCAACGTGCGTTCACCTTGTCGTGGTGGGGGGGCTCAGTAGTGCCCGGCAATACAGCCGGGCGCGAAGCCAAGAAACGCACAAGAAGGTGGCCCACTTCGGTGGGCAGTGGGAGGTGGCCTTCTTCGGAGGGCGGTGTACCATGCGGGTTGCTCCTGGTACTTCTCTGATAGCAGAGTGGACCTCGGAGCAACCCCGTGGTTGTTTTGGTCTGCTTCAGCAGACCTGCCGTCGGGGCGTCGTAGTTGAATGCGCAAGCGATCCTGCGACGCCCCATTAAGACGGGGGAAGGCTTTGTTGGGTTTTAGTGGGTAGTACTGGCTTTATTACGCCGGTGAGTCCCACACCTCGTGCGTAAATGCATTTCCCAACGTTAAAAAAAAAAAAGGTAACAGGTAGTAAAGGTGTATAAAATAGTAGCTTAAATTAGTTAAAGTATAAAGTTCAATTTTTTTATATTTTCTTCGGGATAACTTTAGAAATCTCGACATCCATTGCCGAACACTTATGACAGTTGCTACACCTTGCCAGATACCCCTAAACTTTAATAAATTATAATTATACTTTCGTTAATATAGTATAAAAGCTAAATTTTATACATGTTATTTGGGGACCTATAAAAAATGTTACCTCAATAGCCGGACAGTTTTAATGGTTTTCACATCTTGCCAGACACATCGATAGTTCGTTGTACAACTTCGACCCTGTTACAATTTTATTTTATTCCTTTTTCTAGAAAAAAAAATTGTATTTTAATGCCGAGATATATAATATAATATTTTTTATTATATGTTACGATTTAAATTAGCATATTAACCGTAACGTTAGTTTATACCTGTATAATATTAGTTTCTTTGAATCGATTTCAGTCTAACTCAAATGAAAATGAAAAAGTGGACATAAAATTGTACTACGAATGCCTATGTCCCTACTGTATAGCATTCTACAAGAATGAATTTAGAGAAACTGTAGAGAAACTAAGCCAGTACTTAAACATCCACACTTACCCTTATGGAAATGCAAAGGTTAGTATATCTACTATTTTGATATCTAATCGATTTTTACATAGACTTATTTGTTACAAATCATGCCTAATGTTTTTTTTTAACAGACTATTATAAAGAACGAAAATATAACATTCATATGCCAGCATGGACGTGCCGAGTGCTACGGCAACAAGCTGCACGCTTGCACAATTGACAACTTTCAGAACATTACAAAAGCCATTATTTTTAACGCATGTATGATGGATGAAAATCGTGGCTCCGATGACACTGCTGCTGATAAGGTATTTGACAACTGCTCGCAATACATACTCTTAATATCATTACAAGCATTGCCCGCGACTCCTTCCACCTTCAGATGACCAAAAACCAAATTCTTAGGTTTTACATATTAGTATACTCTTACATTGCAGTTTTTGTATTTTTTCTCAGAAATGAGACATTTTCCCGCCGTAAAAAGTATCCTATAGGTATGTTGACCCGGATAATCAGCTATGACCATACCAAATTTCATCAAAATCTATCTAGTGGTTTTCCCGTGATGCGGTAACAGACAGACAAAAAATCTAAAAACTATAGATTCGGCCTCTGTATCGATAATAATGTCTTTATCAATAAGATTCTCCGAAAAATATTTAATGTACAGTTCAGTTAGAATTTTATTATTATATATAGATTATATTATTAAAAGTAATTTTATTAAAAAGTGAGCAATCTCATTCAAGCAACGTTTAGGTAGAAAAAAAGACAAGGCACAATTGAATACAAATATTCTGCATGTATACTTGTATTGTATAGTGCAGGTACTCGTCAGATTTGGTGATCTCGGATTTTACTGACGGAGAGTTGGAGTGATACGTGAACAAGCCTGAGACCGAATCTGGTTAAAATTATTATCCTTTAAATGCATATAATAATATAGAATATCACGTTTACAAAATTAAATGATTTTATATATTTCAGTGCCTAAACTTTTATTTCAGTGCGCGTTACTTATGAACTTGGATTCCAGACCTATAAAAGAATGTGCCAAAGGAATCCGAGGTACAGAGCTTCTACAGTACAATGGCGAAGAAAGTAAGAAAGTTGGCTTCCATTTCGTGCCATACATTCTTATTAATGACCAATTATCAAAAGCAGACAATTTCATGGAAAATGTTTGCTCGGCGTTCACGGTTCTACCACCACCCTGTGTTGATTTTTTAAGGCTTTATAAGTAAACATATTAACATACAAAATCTATCATTTTAAATAATTAATATGTTTAGTCAACTAATTCAAATTGTTAATTGACCTTTGCTAAAATGACGAGCATAGATGCTGTAAATAGGAAATGTATTCAGCCTTTTTTAACGTCCCACTGCGGGGCACGGGCCTCCGTTCAATACGAGGGGGATCAGGCCATAGTCCACCACGCTGGCCAAGTGCGGGTTGGCGGACTTCACATGTCTTTCGAAAACTTGCTAGGTTCTCTCAGACATGCAGGTTTCCTCACGATGTTTTCCTTCACCGTAAGGCAAGCGGTAATCATGTTAGAAATGATTCGCACATGAAAATATCAGAGGTGCGAGACCCGGGATTTGAACCCGCTTCACTCGGTGTCCCAAGCGAGTGCGTTACCACTGGGCTACCACTGCCTTCAATAGGAAATATGAAATAAGAAATTTTATGTCAAGTTAATAAGCCCATTTTGTGGTTTCCTAAAATTTTACCCACAAAACAGGAAAACTAAAAAGGCTTCCTTAATTTCTTAGCAATATTATTAAAGACCTTCACTCCATAATAGCTCCGCCTCACCGAAAGAGCCTTCACACCGAAATCCAACATATATTTAATATATTTAAAATTAAATTAAGAAAGGCGCAAGTGATCTTAATTCTAATCTCAACAGAATGTTGTACCAACAATATTTATACATACATTTAAACTTTAAGGCGATTGTAAGTTCATTTGTATCTCAGCTAAATATATTGTAAGTTGTATAAGTTGTTCGCAGAACCAACGACAAACTGTTAATTAATACAGTTCGACTAGTTCTACGTGAATATTAGCGCACGTGACCACTTTCCCACTGAACTCCCTAAAGCTATTCCAAATTTAATATCCCAAACTATAAAAGTAATTATTTTTGAACTGTACTTAATTTACAAAAGCAAAATATCATACTTAAAATAAAACTCCATGAAGAGGAAAGATTTATTTGTTTGTTTGTACCGAATAGACTCCGAAACTACTGAACCGATTTAGATGAAATTTGGTATGAAGATAGTGTGAGACCCCGGGATGGACATAGGATAGTTTTTATTCCGGAAACCATCCCTTAAGGGGGTGAAAAGGGGGCTAAAAGTTTGTATGAGGAAGCACCTATACCTAATATAACTGTAAAATTAAAATTTTAAAGGACTCCCAACACAATAACCTACTCAATGAGGCGATTACAATGAGCCTTAACACCACGGAAGATAAAAACAATCTGTTATCTTCCGTGTTAAACGTGATATTGCTACAGTATTTTAGTAGAGAATTAAGTATCTTGCAGATTCCAGGTGACCCTACAACATCAGACCTAGGGTACCATAGTATTGCAATGTCATTAAAGTACCGGGATAGAAAGTTTGTATCGATTAGATCTATGGAAGTTGTTCATATCCTTTTATCGTCTAAAAAAGAACTGATAACTTTTAAATGGCTAAATGAATTTTCTTCATTTATAGCTAAGATTTAAGAACATTCTCAATCAAGTCACCTTTCAAACAAAAACAAGAGAATTAAAGTCGTTTCATCCGTTTAAACACAACACAGATACACACGTTAAACAGCTTAAACTTATAACAGGCTTTTATTTAGTTTCACCTATCCTGGTCTGTAGGTATAATGGAATTTCCTAAGTTAAATTTGATCCACTTCCCAGTGTCTGTTTGAGCTGAAATTTGGCATACTAGTTTGGTTCCTGATACAATGCAACATTACTAAATGACGCCATTTTTATTCCAATTCAGCGGAAGTTACAAAATGACGAATTATCATTTCCATAGTGACCCTTATGATATGGGCATCAAATGAAAGGGCTTCATGAGCAAAACACAATAAGCAACGCGACGTCATTGTAAATCCAATATGGCGGTCGCGACAAAATAGTGATTTATAATTTCCACATTATTTCATATCATACGAGTATCAAATATATGGGCTTGATAAGCGAAATACGATTAGTAAAGTGACGTCATTGTAAATCCAATATGGCTGACGTCTCAAAATGGCTAATTATCATTACAAATATCTTATTATTTTTTAGCTTTTAGAACATTATTTACATCATTATTATCTTTTTTTTTCAATAAAATCGTTTAACTTAAAAGTTTTTTACCTATTTTTTTACAATGATATCAAATTTGGCACTGTTGTCTAAAATGAGGACGTCATGAAAATTAATATCAAATATCATTTCCTAATAATTGCTAAAGAAATTTGCATAGGAGCAATGTTCGTATAATCTGTGTATTAGTTATTTCGAATAAATGAAAATATTAAGGGGGCACCGAGCTTTTTATTTTAGTAGGACGACAGCGGGCAGGGGGGAAGGGGAGGGGGGTGGCTAGGAAAGACGGAACGCGTGCGAATTTTGGTATTTCCTGCGTATTATTTAAACAAATCACATTTTGAAAATGTAACGTGCATACATTATAGAAAACGTATAATTTAGTTATTAATATTAAAAAACTGATGAACTTCCTCGATTTAATTACACCGAACTAAGGGCTTATTTTGTTTTTTAGAGATCATTTTGGTTTTTTTTCTATCGAGGAAACTACAGGTAATGGTGTTTCTATACGCAAGGGATTCAAACGAACGCAATTATTATATTATTAATATGATTCATCGAAAAGATATGTACCTCTCTCTATATATAGAAACCCAAATATTTATCATTATCCTGATCCATTATTTAAAATATTTCAAACCAAGTTAAATACTTATCTCTATAATTCCTATACAAATATTAAAATTGTATTTGGAATTGTTCGAATAGTTGAAAAGGTTGATATAATGGTTGCAAGTAGTTACAACGCTCAAATGCGTCATAAGGTAAATATTCTAAATATTTCTTATGAGTAACTGATCATTCCAGTATATATATACGTTACTAATGGCTAAACAAAGTAATTTAAAAGCATTTATGATAACTTTCTAACAGCGCACTTACTGTTCAGATTTGATTATTCATAAAGTCGCTATCATGTGACACGTGTATGTATGTATGTCTACTGTACAGTATAATCAAAAACTATTTAAGATGTAAATGTGCTAGAATACTGCTTAATAAATAATTCATGTTAAAGTTTCGAGAATTTAACAAATGAATAATACTTTGATCATTACATTCATGATGTCGAGAACACCCCGAGGTCCAATTATTTCAGTGAGTGCAAAACTGCAGACGGCTAGAATTTGTATTGCATAGTGTAGAAGCAGCCCACCTTGAAACCTCGGAGAAAGTTTGTAGGTTTAATTATTCCTTCATCAATTACGAGAATCTGCTTAAACGCTTAGGTACTTTAATTTGTGAACGAGGACATAATGTATTTTATTGCAGCCTCAAGCCTGAGCTATTTTATGTATGTATGTATGTTTAATATTTTTTCCTCAATAATTTCTTTATGATACTGAATTCAGTAGTTTGTTTCAAGCGAGTGTCTCAGTTAGGTGCTCATAAAAATTCAAGGCAAGCTTCGCGAACCATAACTTTATTCAAGTTATCTCTACCTGGCAACCATAACATAACAAGTAAATAGTTTAGCGAGTGATACGATACCACATAAACACATACTCGTATTCCTTCAGTATAACTTACATGAGCTAATAACTGACACGTGGCATATTATGTTACATCATGACTAGTTGAAGTAATTATCTAAACAATATACGGTGGCATTGAAATTAATACATTGATACACTTGTACACTATTACCTACCTAACTATTCACTCAATACCATCAGTAGATTTTCTATGAGTTTATAATAAGGTAAAATAATACAACATATCGGTCTCTTAATATTATGTTATTTACCTATTTATAGAATTTTTGTCCAATAAAAACTTTTTAACAAAAAAATAAAAACCGACTTCAAACAAAAGCACTAAAAAGTAAAAAATAACTGATTGGTAGTTTTCATTTACTATACATACCTAATAAAATATTTTCGAAGTCGGTGTGCTTTGCATTGTATCGGCTGGCAAGAATAAAATATATTATTATCATGACAAGAATACACTTTCAAACAAAACAAAAATTGTCCAAATCGGTTAATAAATGACGGAGTTCTGAGGTAACAAACATAAAAAAAAACATACAGCCGAATTGAGAACCTCCTCCTTTTTGAGGAAGTCGGTTGAAAACAGATATTGGTTCATGGCATAAATATTGAACCAAACATTAAGCGTATCTGTAGCATAGTTTTTCTATAAATTGATCCACCATTATGTAAGTAATGAAACCTGCGCCCTACAGGTTCAATAGGTACTCACCATGTGGATAATTGAACAACTGACCACATCATAAGGCACGTCTATTGATTTAACCAACAGCAGTTTAATTAAAATATTGTTTATGTAGACCTGTAATTTGTAAAATTTTACTCACAATAGTCCGTACAACGTACAGTACTCGTAGATGTATGTTTATATTATTTTTGTAGCTTCTCGTCTGGTGACTTCAATTTATTTGTTTTTTTTTGTTTCTATTTATGGTGTGATCAAGATATAAATTTAGACCATCTTAACCGGTTTTAATTAGACTTTACTATGCCTTTATGTCAGTTCGAGCTATTGCCCCACTATTCCTACCCAACCCAACTACATTTTACATTGTAATATCTTATTTTCAATAAAATGATACTTCGAAGGTTTGAATTTTAGTTGTTGTTTTAATATTTAGGCATAATTAATAGACAAACCATGCCCTTCACATTACAATCACATAAACTAAAGAACATCTTGTAAAGGAACTATTCTCTCTTTTGTATGAACCGAAGGGTGGACTCCACGCGGGGGACGTGAGCGAGCGTTCCCGGCAAGTCAATGCGTCGCCATTCACCCGAGGGATTACCGACGTGCAACCACAGGGACACAAACATCGGCTATCTCTATCTAATTTACTGGAAATGAAAGGGACATGAGAGTCGACATTGAACGAAAACAAATCAGTCGCTAGAGAAC